TGTTCTCCTAAAGTCCACTTGTCTTTCCTAAAGAAACCTATCTGCCCTTCCCATGGAGCCTCTTCTCCCCTCTCTTTCCTTTATTAAGTTAAGCATCAGTTCAGTTCAGTCGCTCAGTTGGGTCTGACTCTTTGCAACCCCATGGACCTCAGCACACCAGGCTTCCCTGTTCAACACCAACTCCCGGACCTTGCTCAAACTCATGTCCATTGAGTCAGTGATGCCATCCAACCATATCATCCTCTGTTGTCCCCTTCTCCTCCCGCCTTCAATCTTTCCCAGCATTAGGGTCCTTTCAAATGAGTCAGTTCTTTGCCAAAGTGTTGGTGGCCAAAGTATTGGAGTTTCAGCTTCAGCATCGGTCCTTCCAATGAATATTCAGAACTGATTTCCCTTAGGATTGACTGATTGGATCTCCTTCCAAATTGGGAAAGGAGTACCTCAAGGCTGTATATTGTAACCCTGCTTATTTAACTTCTATGCAGAGTACACCATGCAAAATGCCAGGCTAGATGAAGCACAAGCTGGAATCGAGATTGTTGAGATAAATATCAATAACCTCAGATATGCAGATGACACCACCCTTACGGCAGAAAGTGAAGAAGAACTAAAGAGACTCTTGATGAAAGTGAAGGAGAGTGAAAAAGTTAGCTTAAAACTCAACATTCAGAAACGAAGATCATGGCATCTGGTCCCATCACTTCATGGCAAATAGATGGGGAAATAATGGAAACAGTGACAGACTTTATTTTGGGGGGCTCCAAAAATCACTGCAGATGGTGACTGCAGCCCTGAAATTAAAAGATGTTTGCTCCTTGGAAGAAAAGCTATGACAAGCCTAGACAGCATATTAAAAAGCAGAGACATTACTTTGCAGACAAAAGTCCATCTACTCAAAGCTATGGTTTTTCCAGTAGTCATGTATGGATGTGAGAGTTGGACTGCAAAGAAAGTTGAGTGCCAAAGAATTGATGCTTTTGAACTGTGGTGTTGGAGAAGACTCTTGAGAGTCCCTTGAACTGCAAGGAGATCCAATCAGTCTATCCTAAAGGAAATCAGTCCTGAATATTCACTGGAAGGACCGATGCTGAAGCTGAAACTCCAATACTTTGGCCACCAACACTTTGGCAAAGAACTGACTCATTTGAAAAGATCCTGATGCTGGGAATGATTGAAGGTGGGAGGAGAAGGGGATGACAGAGGATGGGATGGTTGAATGGCATCACTGACTCAATGGGTATGGGTTTGAGCAAGCTCTGGGAGCTGGTAATGGACAGGGAAGCCTGGTGTGCTGCAGTCCATGGGGTCACAAAGAGTCAGACATGACTGAGTGACTGAACTGAACTGAAAATCTTTGACATGACACCTGTTTTTATTTTTGTATGAAAGTCATGATTTTGCTTTTTTCCTGAAAATTATCTTTTAGCAAACTCCGGGGCTGTGAATACAGCCCATTCATACTCCTGGGGTCTTCAGGATCCAGGACAGAGGGTCCTAACACTGAGGGCTTCCTAAGCGCTCCCCTGGCCCCTTCCCCACTCCCTCCCCCCAACTCCTGTTCTCCACCTGCTGGCCCCAGGGGCCAACTTGGCTCTCTGACTAATGGGATTAGTATTCAGCTGTGTGGTCTTAGGTCAGACTAGCAATTTATAGAGTCTGGGTGGGTGGTCAAGTGCTCCAGTGAGGTGGGTGTGTTCATATACATAGTTACCCTCCCTCTCTTTCTCAAATGGCACAAGTGGTAGCCTTTGCTCTCTGCGTTGCAAACCACAGGCTGTGTGTATGTGTGCTATTCGCTCAATCATGTCCAACTTTTTGCGGCCCTATGAACTGTAGTTGCCAGGCTCCTCAGTCCATGGGATTCTCCAGGTAAGAATACTGGAGAGCTACCCATTTCCTTCTCCAGGGAATCCAGGGATCGAATCCCAGTCCCCAGGAATAACAGGATTAGTATTCAAACAAAGAAGTGGCAAGGGGCAGGCTTCCTGGCACTCCTCCCCTCCCTGGGGCTCCTGTAATTGGAGCTGATCTCTACCCTTGCCCTTTTCTTAGCAGTGGCATTGCAGACAGAAGTATACTGTTTCCCCCTTTTCCCATGCTGGCTCCCTGCTTCTCCCATAGACACCATTCACTTCTACATTTACTGATCACCTATCAGGTGTTGGACTAATTACCCATGTTGTGTGCTCTTGGGGGTTCAAAAAAAGTCTAAGTGAAAGTTCTCACCCTCAAGGACTCCACCTTCAGAGACTTAGACCAAGAACTACACACACTCACAAAGACAATACAGCTATAAGAATGCAGCACACACTGCTTGAGTACTCCCTGAGTGCCCAGGTGTGCTAAAGACTTTATACACAGTCAACCCAAGAGCAGACAATATTATGAAAAATGGAGGCTTTCAGGGATTAAATATTATTATAACAGACACCGATTGGGGTGCCTGGTGAGCTCAGAACAATTTCTTCAGGGCCCATGCCTGTGTCCAGTCCCTCTTGTCCTTTGGGAAACTCTGTCTCCTTCTCCAACATGTAGTGATTGGCCCAAAGAGTGGTCGTGTGACTCAAGTTTCAGAGTCCCGCTCCAGGAACTTTTGCCTGAGAACTCAAGGGGAAACTTCTTTTGTCTCTGGCCAGGGAGCTATAGCAGTAAGAATCAGCCTCACTGAAAAGATCCTCAACATTGCTAATTATTAGAGAAAAGCAAATCAAAACTACAGTGAGGTACTACCTCACACATCATTAAAAAGTCAGCAAATGACAAATGCTGGGAAGGGTATGGAGAAAAGGAAACCCTCCTACACTGTTGGTAGGAATGTAAGTTGGTGCAGCCACTGTGGAGAACAGTAGGGAGGGTCTTCAGATAACTAAAAACAGAATTACCATGTGATCCAGCAATCCCACTCCTAGGCATATATCCAGACAAAACTATCAATATAATTCAAAAAGATACATACACCTCTATGTTCATAGCAGCACTATTCACAAGAGCCAAGACACGGAAACAAACTAAATATTCATCAACAGATGAAGGGATACAGATAATGTGATAAATATGTAGAATGGAATATTACTCAGCCATAAAAAGAAAGAATGCCTTTGCAGCAACATGCAACTAGAGATTACCATACTAAGAAAGAGAAAGACAAATATCATATGATATCACTTATATATGGAATGTAAAATATGATACTGATTCATATGTAGAATGTAAAATATGACACAAACAAAGCTATCTATGAAACAGAAAGAGAATCATAGACATAGAGAACAGACTAGGGGTTGCCAAAGGGTAGAATTGAGGGCGAGATGGAGTGGGAGGTCGGGGTTAACAGATGTAAGCGTTCATATACAGGATGGACAAACAACGAGGCCTACAGTATAGCACAGAGAACTATATTCAATATCCTATGATAAACCATAACGGAAAAGAATATTTAAAAAATAATGTGTGTGTGTGTATATATATGTGTATAATTGAATCACTTTGCCATACAATAGAAATTAACACATTGAAAATTAACCACAATTTTTAAAAATTGGAGGAAAAAAAAGTCAGCTTCATAATGCTCATAGGCAGAATCTGTCTTTTTGAGAAGTTGGTCAAGAGAATTAGAATGTCAGAAAGAGAAGAGGACTTGAAGAGTCCATGTAGGCCTCTAGTACCAATTATACTTAAAACAGCTCCATCCTGTTCTCCCACAACCTGGCCCATATGTTTAGCCCTGTTTTCCTTAGTCTAGTTCGAGTTTGTTTTGCATCATTTGTAAGTTACAGAGTCGTAAGGATACAGGTCCCTTGCCTGAGGTCACACAGCTAACAAGGGGCTGGCCGCACGCCCTCCCAGCAGCTACCTCACCTCCCATGTGGCTGGATTATGGACAGCAGACAGCACACGCAGCATCATGCTATTTTATTTTGCTATAAATGTTGCCGGAGGATTGGCATGACCATGGGGTTGACACTTCTGCTCATCAACTGTTCCATTCCCAGAAATGTGTTATCACTCCCCTCATGAAAGTCACATTATCATCAATGTCCACCGTTGGCCCCACTTGCACCTAGACTGGTCCCCTCCTCCCAGAGCCACAGCCACAGGCACTTCCAACAAAGGCCTCTTGTCAGAAGAGAACCCGTTCAGAGCCCACCTCTGATGCTTTCCCCCTCCCTTCCTTTCTGGTCTCCCTCATCTCTGCACCTTTAGGTCAGAGCTGCCCATCTGTAGCCCAGAGGCCAAATGTGACATGTAGATAGGTTTCATTCAGCATTCACAGCATTTTTATTTTAGCATTTTAAAAATTAGGAGTTTCACTTAGATATCACAATTTAAATTTTCCATATAAAAAGTTAAAAAAAAAAAACTATCTGCATTTCTGACTTTAAAAAACAAAACAAAACTGGCCTATCCATGACAAGAGCCCTGCATCTCTGCATGAGCACCTCTGGTAACAACTGAGCAGGAACCACTCACTGTGGACAGTGCATGGCCTCTCTGCTTCACCTGTCTCAAAATTTACCCAGAACCCTCATTTTCCCTGCCTGACTGATCTCTGTGAACACCCAGGGCCACACACTGGGAGGCTGGGGTCTCTGCTAACACGTCGACAGCCCAGTGGCCAGTCTCTCCAGCCTAGGATTGGGCATTTTCCCCAGATGATGAATCTCAGGGAAATCCCTTCAACTCTAAGACAAGTTGGACCCCTGGCCTCACCTGACCCAGGTTCTGAATATGTCCAAGCCCAGAAACCACTAACCACAAGCTCCAGTTTGCCTGTAGGTACCTCAGCACAGTCACATGCAGCTGACACCAGGCCAAGGCCCAGGATGGACACCAGGCCAGCTCAGGCTCATCTTAACATGGAAACCGTTCAGCTGGACGCAGGAGCAGGCAGTGACTTCCCTGAGCCCACCTGGAAAACCAGCGCCACCAAACCATCAGACCAGGGCCAGTGGCCCCCACCCCAGCCCTGGCACCCAGGCCCAGGCCTTGGGCATACTCACGATATTCATGAGGGTGAGGACGTAGTTCTGCACGTGCTCCTTGCCGTGGAAGCGCACCACCGAATCGTCCACCACCAGCAGCACCTCGATGCTGTAGCTGCCCGGCGTGGCGTGTCGCCGCTTCCGCTCTGCTTCTCCTAGCCGGTCCCCCACCAGGCCCAGCAGGTTGGGAAGGTCGCCCAGGCCAAAAGCTGGAACCAGGACGGGAAGAGACGGAGGTTCAAATCCATGTAAGGAACTGTCACCATGATGCCGCCCGCTGAGCGACCCCTGCCTCTGACAGCATGAAGGTTTGTGCCAGGCCAGGTAATAGGTGGGCATAAGCCCTCCCCCTGACATGAGCATGTGGCAAATCTCTGGGGCAGTGAGGAGTGGAGAGGTGAGAACTGGCCCGGGCTCCAGTTCCCGCTCAGTTCTATCTCCCTGTCACGTCCCAGCCCAAGCCCCTCCACCTCTCTGTGCTCCCCTCCCCTCCTGTGACATGGGAAGGAATAATCCTTGATCTCCTGCCAGACATGCTTGCTGTAAAAATCAAAGATGGCAGTGCGTAGAAACATCATAATACAGGAAAAAATGTTTTGTGATATTACCATGGCCTATGGAGGGCATTTTAGGGACCCCTGGAGGATGCCCCATGCCCCTCAAATCGCTCTCAGTCATTGCCAGCAACTCCAAATTTCCCCATCACAGCTTTGACCTTTTAGCTAAGGTTATTTATTTAACCAGCATTTATTAACTTGTATGATGTAATCTAGGAGATTTCAAACCTTTTCTGTAAAGGATCAGATAGTAAACATTTTAGGGTTTGTGGTTCATCTGGTCTGTCTCAGCTCTTCAATTTGACTACTGAAATATAAAAGCAGCTACAGACAATATATAAACAAATGAGTGTCTCTGGGTTTCAATAAAACTTTATTTACAAAAACAAGTGGTAGGCCTCCTTTAGCTCATGGACCTTAGTTGGCTGACTCCTAATGGAATCCAATCCAATCCTTAAAGACAACTCTGTCAGATTATTGACTCCATTATACAAGTAAACAAGCTAAGGATCAAAGTAGCACGTCCAAGTCTGTCTGAATCAAAAGGTCATGCTTTGAAACATATGGCTATTTAGAAAGGTAACATCTCAAGCAGTTATCAGTCATTTACACCATAGCCCGAATAAGGACTGGAGCAACATTTGTTGGGGCAGTGGAGTAAGGAGTACATGAGGACAGCATAGGGGAAGCTTTGGAAGCAGGATAGGAGGCAAGGTTCTCTCAAAAAAGCTGCAAATGTCTTAATGACTTTCCTGCCATCCCACCCTGAGGCTCTGATTCTTGTGCACTGATTTCTAAGAATATTCATTTATCCACAGTTATTTGAAAACCCCTCTGCCTGCAAGATGGGGCTGAGGCTGTAAAGATGCCACCACTACAGTCCCAGCACATATAAAGAGGTGTGGCTGCAGAAGGGGCCCCATACTTAATAGCAGGATGGACAGTGGTGGGTGATGAAGGTAGGACCCTGTCCTTGAGCTCTCCCGCCTAGTGCAGGTGACAGATAAGAAACTGGGTAGTAACAATAGAGGACCATCAGGCACCAGACAGTAGGGCTGACTAGGGCAGGCTTCCACACCGAGACCCAAACCAGGATTGGGGAGCTGGGGGAGGCTTCTGGAGGAGGGCACACCTGAGCCTGAGCCTGAGCCGGCCAGAGGGGCAGCAGGAGACCTGCTGCAGCATGGGTACCAGAGGGTTCCAAGAAGAAGGAGATGCAACTGCAGGACCCATTGTGAGTGCGCGTAAGGAGCTACAGTCCACAGTGTGGTAACCCTCCGGGATGACTCGATGGGCACCCAAGTTCTGCTTCTAAGCCTCCATGCACATGGGTACTCCAGGGACTGAAGGCTGAGTGCGGAGCAAAAGGAAATCACAGTGCTCACGCTGTTTCTATTTTCCCTTTGATTAGTAGCACTGCCATGCAAAGAAATCTGCCATGCCCTAGATGTTTAAGAGTTGGGGAATGTATGGCCACTGTGCCTAGAGGAGAGAGCAGAAATGGGCAGCTGGCCCTCTGAGCAATGCGCAGGCTGGTGAGCAGGGCTTGGGCCAGTGTCCGCCCTCACTGCCCCTCAGGCCAGTGTCTCTCTGTTTGTAGGTGACACTGCACCAGAGCTCCTGGGGGCCCTGCTCTCTGAGCCCAACACTGAGCGCAGCAGCCCAGAGACAAATTCCTGGGGGAGAGGGGAAGAGACCCCCAGGACGGGAGGAGGAAGGTCAAAGGCTCTCTCCACGGAGTGAGTTGAATCCTAACAGCCACTCCCAACACACGAGCAGTGCCTGGAGGTTTCAGCACTGCAAGGGAAAAGGGGAACTCGACTCCTCACAGCTCTCTTTGCCAGGTCTGTCAAAGACAGGCTCAGAGAGGTCACCCGACTCATCTCAGGTCACACAGCAAGTTCATGGCAAACATCCGGAAAGTAAACCCAGGCCTGCCCCTCCCCATTATCACACCCTAACAGGGCCCACCCAGATTTCTCTCTCAAAAAACCACGAGAGGCACTGAGGAGGGCCTGCTGACATCAGCCACAGACCTTGGAGATGATCCATTCACACCCTCTTCTATGTGTCTCTCATCCTTCAGGCCACATATAGGGAATTCTCAAAGCGGGAAGGGTGGGGGCAGCAGGTCACCAGAAACTTTCAATGAGCCCACCCAAGAAGCCTCAAGAAAATGTAAAATGGTGCAACTGTTTTGGAAAATAGTTTGGCAGTTCCCCCAAAAGTTAAACACAGTATTACCATAGGACCTACATCTTTACAGAATCTTACGTATATACTGAAAACAATGGAAAACATATGTTCGCATGAAAATTTGTACATGAATGTTCACGGCAGCATTATCATAATAGCCACCAAATGAAAACAACCCAAATGTCCACTAACAGATGAACAGATAGATAAAATGTAGTCTCTCTATGGGGTGGAATATTACTCTGCCATGAAAAGGAGTGAAGTACTAAGACACGCACCAGCAGAGACTGACCTTACTTACTCAGTGACAGAAAGCCAGTCACAAAAGGCCACAGACTGTATGATTCCATCTGTAGGGGATGTCCAAAAGAGACAAAGCTCTGGAGAGAGAAGGTTGATTAGTGGTTGCTAGGGAGCTGAGAAGGGGAAAATAGGAGTGACAGCTGATTCATTGGTATGTGGTATTTTTATGGGAGTGATGGAAATGTTCTAGGATTAGATAATGGTGATGGTGATCCCATTAATGTGGGATGTAATTGTGATGGTGTTCATAATAATGGTGATCCCACAAAACTGTGACTATAGTTTTTAAAAAAACTGAATTGTATACAGTAAAATGGATTTTCTCTCAATTAAAAAAAGGCAGCAACAGTAGCCTTAAGCCCCAGACTGGCTGGCTGTCCTTGAGGGGATGAATTGTCCTGGTGTTTGGTAGCCCTGAACTCCAGCCAAGGAGCCAGAATTCTGGCTAACGGCACACAAGCATCCAGGTTCCAGTCACCTAGATGGTGGGAAGAGGGCTACAGAGCAGGACTGTGGGTTGAGGGAGGACAGGACAACATTAGGAGCATGGGAACGTCCAGGGCACAGCCTTCGAGGTCAGACCTTTCATCTTAACCAAGAATGTTAAGTGGAGACAGACACACTCAAAAGAACTTCACATACCAGGCTCAGACCCACTGCTCGCCTTAAAATAACACTGTGAGTCACAGGTTTTCAAGAAAGTCCTGTCACCCTTGTCTTTCTAAGGAAGAACCCAGATGGGCCCAGGGCACAATGCTGCCCACAGGAGGCAGAGCCAGGCAACCCGACGAGGGGAGACAGAGCAGCGCTCAAGGCATGAACCCCACCCGGAGCTCATCACGTTGAGGTCATCAGTCTCATCACGTGATATCATCACGCTCATCAGTCGCTGAGCACGCTGGCCAGCTGTGGGGCTGGTTCCAGGCTCACAGCCCTGGAGCAGGACTTCCCCAAGGTCTCTCTCAAAAGGGAGGATTTGTGGTCTTTAGATTCAGAGCTGGCCTCAGACAAAACAGAGTCCAAGGGAGACTCATCATTCCCTCCAGCAGTGGTGGAGATAACAGTGTGGGTCACCACCGAGCCCCTGAAACCCTGCCCAGCCACCCGAGGCTCCCCCCACCCACCCCGCTTCATAACATAACTGCAGAGCGTTCCACCATCATAACATACATGTGGCATCACTTAAGAGGAACACGGGGAGAGCAGCTGAGGCTTCAAAGGACGCACTGTACGTGGGGACAACTGGTTTCCAGGCATTCCTTCACACTGGGCCCAACTCTGCCAGGGCCCAGGCAGGAGGGCGTGTCACTCATGGCCAGATTCCACCCAGGAATGAGGGTGGAATCCACGCATGTCCTCATGGCCAAAGGGGCTTTGAGACAAAGCTCAGTTGGACTGTGAAGTTGGCACAGGCCTAGGACCAGCACACAACACATTTCACCACTTCACTGGCTCAACCATGGGTCCGGTGTACTGCTGGTGGGCAGGCTCCGTTCAGAGACTCTCACCCCAACACGGCAGCAGTTACCTTAGAAACAAAGCCTTACCAAGAGCAACCATTCATCAAACACCTACCACACGCCAAGCTCCATGCTGGGAGTTCTATACACATTACAACATTTATAACATTATAACACATAAAACCTCAGCATTAGCAATGATAATACCACTTTACAGATTAGAAAAACAGGTTCAGAGATGTTAAGTAACTTACTTAAGGTCACATAGTAAACAATATTGGAGGTAGGATATTTTTTTCACATTTAAGCTGTTTTTTTAAAAAATTATTTATTCACTTATTTTTGGCTGCACTGGGTCTTTGCTGCTGCTTATGGACCTTCCTCTAGTTGCAGCGAGTGGGGGCTACTCTCTAGTTGTGGTGCACGGGCTTCTCATTGCAGTGGCTTCTCTTCTTGGACAGAACAGCCTCTAGGGTGTGCAGGCTTTAGTAGCTGGGGCCCATGGGCTTAGTGCAATCTTCCCGGACCAACAATCGAATCCGTGACCCCTGCATTGGCAGGCAGATTCTCAACCGCTGGACCAGAGGGAAGTGCCTGGAGGTAGGATTTTTAAAGGTCTTTGGGACACAGAGCTGACTCTGGTGGCCTGACCCCAGGCAGTCTCACTACGAATGCCCTAAGAACCTCCTTCCTGTGGTTCCCATGGGTAGAGATGATTTCCAGGGGGAGAAGCTAACTGCAGTCATTCCACCTTCTGTCCTGGCAGAGGAACAGCTTTGCAAAGCAACACTGAGCCACTCCGAGACTCAAGGACCACTGTTCAGGGGGCTCAAGTTGCTCTTCTAGTCCCCACTCCAGCCTGCTGTGGTAGCCCCTAAAATGGAGGGCAATTTCCCTGCTGGTACAGTAGATCTATGTGGCCCAGACCCATTACACCAACGAGAAGACTGAGGCCAGGAGTTGAAAAGCCCAGGCCAGAAGTTACCTGAAAACATCCCTGCGATGTGGAGGGAGGTAGACCTGGCACCCCCGACCACAGCCTACCTTCATTGTGAAGGTCCCCGAGGGGCTCTGTCCATGGCTGCCTGACAACTTCCCGCCGGTACACCACATGCTTTCTCCCGCCGGCCTCCGTCTCCTGCTGCCCGCGCTCAAAGGGCTCGATGAAGTAGTCGGTGCTGTCCGTACGGATGAGGCCGGCCTTAACCAGGGATGCAGCAAGCAGGGGGGGAGGGGGAGAGAGCAGAGATGTGAACACACAGCAGAACAGGTGTGTGTGTGTGTGTGTGTGTGTGTGCAAATGAGTGTGACCACACAAGAGCAGGCTCTTCCTCTAGAGGCTTGGGGGCCCTCAGATGCCAGCAGGGAAGTGGGAAGAGGGTGTTAGGCTGCCAAGCAAAGGCCCGCATGCCCATCACAAGCAGAGCAGAGCCACTTTTCTTTTTCTTTGATTTATTTCTAATTGAAGGATAATTGCCTTATAATATTGTGCTGGTTTCTGCCATACATCAACATGAATCAGCCATAGATATACACATGTCCCCTCCCTCTTGAAACTCCGGCCCACCTCCCTCCCCATTTCACCCCTCTAGGTTGTCACAGAGCCCTGGCTTGAGTTCCCTGAGTCATAGAGCAAATTTCCACTGGCTATCTATTTTACATATGGTAGTGTAGATGTTTCCACTCTATATTACTCTCTCCATTCGTCCCACTCTTTCCTTCCCCCCTCCCTCCCTCCCACCGTGTCCATAACAGATCCACTTTTACTGTGCTGTGCACTCATGGGGTTCCACGTAACATTTCCTCTAAACAAAAGTGCTTGCATGCTAAGTCGCTTCAGTCATGTCCAACTTTTTGCAACCCCATGGACTGTAGCCTGCCAGGCTCCTCTGCCCATGGGATTCTCCAGGCAAGAATACTGGAGTGGGTTGCCATGCCCTCTTCCAGGGGATCTTCCCGACCCAGGGATTGAACCTGCATCTCTTATGTCTCCTGCATTGGCAGGCGGATTCTTTACCATCAGTGCCACCTGGGAAGCCCCCCTAAGGTGGGCACTGGACCCCAATTCCAGCAAAGAGTGCTGTTATTTCAGATTTAAAACATGTGCGTGTGCAGCTCATGTTTGCTGACACTAAACGAGCGAGGACAGTGCCCCAGGAGCGTGTGCTTGATGTTTTAATCTGATTTTTCACCTGCATCAAAACAGTCCTCTAAAAATATCAAGTGCTGGCTTTGGAAATTAAAAAACATAAAAATATAACCTTGGCCAAGCCCAGCCAACATGTTATTAGGTCCCAAATGAAGGCAATATTCACAAGGGTAAATGAAACATATAACAAAATGTGTGTGAATACATGTGTAGCTATACAGTCTCCCGCCCCCACGCACACGTCAGCTCTATAAAGCAGTGAGGGACACCCACCACGGTGCCTGGAAAATAGGAGGCAATCCTTAATAAAAACTTATTTGTTGAATTCCTTCACTCATTCAACAAACACCTATGGAGTGCCTACTACATACCAGCCCTGTGCCAGACACTGGGAACGCAGCTGTGAACACAAAACAGGGAATGAAGGAAACCATTTTTATGAATCTATTGGGCCTTCCTGTTTGAATAGGAGCTGCCTCTTTTTAAAGCAGTCATTACTTTACGCAACTAAATTCCACCCGTTTTCCCACCTCAACCTGTTTTGAGCTTGCTTCTTAGGGAACTCCCTTCAAGGCTTCCTGCACACATAACCTCAAACCTCCTAGAGCAGCCCATCTTCCTCCTGTCCTTCCCAGCTATGTCTCTTCATCAAACTGCCAACACCGTTTTGGATCAAAACCAAGAGAGCTGCCTTCTGCACCAATCGGGAGGCCAAAAAATGTTCTAGGGAAATTAGCAGCATTACCGGAGTAAGTCTGGAGCTCCTCAAGGTAACCATTTTATCAAGAGACACTCAACTGTCTGCAAAAGCTCCAGTCTGCTTATTAAAATGTCAACATCAAACTCTATATTAAGCAGGTGTCCTTTCTTTTAAAGTGCTCTCTCTTTTTCACTTCTGTGCCTGCCACGTGCCCAGGGCAGCGAAAAACAGATGATGAGGCCCAGCCTTTGACTATGAGCTGTTCATCATCTGGATGGAGGAGACCACAGAGAAGCAGAAGATGGCCAAACTGCTGGGCCTGGTGCTCTGGCAGGTGTCCCTGATGGACAGGGACCCACCAGGCTCATGGTTGCAAGGGGCAGAGAGTCAGCTTGCACCCTCTTGGACCAAACGGGAGCATGTAGGTCGCTGGACAAACCATGGCAGGTGCAGGGGCTGGAAATGAGGGGCCCAATGCCTTGGCCCTCTCTGCACCCTCCTCACGGCTCCTCTGCATCAGCTTCACTCCCCCAGACAAGGTATGTTCTCACAGGTACATCTCTGCTCTGACCCCAGAGACAAGAAGGCTTTCCTTGCATAGTCCTATCTGGTACAGCCCAGGAGACCTGTGGTCAGTCTGGCCTGACTCACACGGTCACCCTGGGATTGGTAGTTCTTGCTCGCTCCCCATGGCCAGAGGGAGGGTAATTACTATGGAGAAAGAAGGAGAAACTGATGGGATGGCAAAAGAAACCCACATGAGCTGGAAAGGACACGGCAGGTAAGGGACCTGGATGCAGATGTAGGAGCAGGAACAGCCATGTGGGGTTGGGGAGGCATCCAGGCTCATGGGCAGAGGCTAGGCCAAACCTGCACAGGAAGTGTGTTAGTCAGTCGGTCATGTCTGACTCCATGCGACCCCATGGACAGTAGCCTGCCCAGCTCCTCTGTCCATGGAATTCTCCAGGCAAGAATACTGGACTGGGTAGCCATTCCTTCTCCAAGGGATCTTCCCGACCCAGAGATCAAACCCGGGTCTCCTGCACTGCAGGTGGATTCTTTGCCATCTGAGCCACCAGGGAAGCCCTGCATAGGTGATGGCCAAGTCGAAGAGCCTCTGCCACTGCACAGGCCCTGACGGAAGCCAGTCTCCCAGGGTGCACAGGGCGGCAGGGCCCAGGGCTTTCCACCCAAAGCTCTGCAGCTCAGCTGCCAAGAGAGACTCTCCACCAAGGCCCCCACCCATCCATCCCATCCCACCTTCTGTACGCCCGTCTAGTCCCCAAGGCCAGTGCTCCCACCCCACTGAACCCCGCTGGACCAGGCAAAGCAAGAGACCCTTAAAGCAGAAGTCAGATGACCTGTGCTTCATCCAGGCCAAACTCACACAAACCCAGGCTCACCAAGGGTTGCAGCTGCTCTCTCTCTGCCCATCATATCTCTCCTCTAGCAGAGAAGAGTTCTCTAGACCAGGGGGCAGAAGACTCCATTCAGCGATCCCCCCACACACACACACTGGGTCACTTCACTGTAGCCTCCCCTATTCTGGAACTTGGTTACCCCACTGCCCCAGAGGATTCTTCAGAATCTGGCATGCCCTGTGCCTCACCACCCACGAATCACCATGGCCACCAGACCTCAGGGCCTCCCATGAGGGTTGCAGGGTACAGAAAGATGCGCACAGAATGGGCTGGGCTATAAGGCACTCCCTTCCGGCTCATGTCCCCCATTCAAGATCACCATGTCTGCCCCAGTCTCAGGTCTCAATATCCTAGTCAGGGGACCTCTGATATTTTCCTGGATGCCTCTAGTGACAGAGAGCTCCCCCTCTCAAGATGTAACCTGTTCTCTGCAGGGACACTCTTACTGTCTTACTGAGCTGAACATACTTCCCTGCATTCTGCCCTTTGTGAAGTCTTATTACCATTGCTAGTAATAAGTTAGATAGCATCACTGACTCAACAGACACAAATCTGAACAAACTCCGGGAGACAGTGAGGGACAGAGGAGCCTGGTGCACTATGGTCCATGGGGTCGCAAAGAGTCGGACACAACTTATCGAATGAATAACAACACTAAGAGTGTCTGCCACTCACATTTACATGTCTTAATTCATCTTTACAACAACCCTATGAGGTAGGCACTGATATTAGACCCATCTCATGTATGAGGAAACAGAGTCACTCATCAAGTCAGGGACCGCACTAGAGCAGAGCTCAGCTCCATGTGGATCTTCATCACTAGGCTCCATTACCTCAAGCCATCCCAGGGCTCGCTCCTGACCTGGGGCCCATTTGGAGCAAGGAGACGTTCCTCTTTTTTTTTTTTTTTTTAATTTTAACATTGTTTTAATCAAATAACAGCTGTTTGAAACAGGAAATTTTAAGAGTTGAATAGAGCAAAGTGAAAGATCACTCTATCAGGATAGCTGCTATGAATAAATCCCTTACTATGTGGATTTGAATCCCATTTTAAGTTTGGCACTAGACTGAACACTGGTCTAAGCCAAAATTTTCTCTTTAGTGTTTTAGAAGCCCTGAACATTTTCCTTCAGTTTTAAGGGGGGGGGGACGGGGGACGATGGGAGAAAAAAAGGGAAAAAACCCCTCTATAATAAAACCTCATTAGCTTGATAATGGGTATCCTGAATGCAACTTGGTACTCCCCAAAATTTCAGAAAATGGCAAGAAATTTTACACCTAGGTATGATGTGAATTTACAAAAGCCTCTTCTCTTTGGTGTGACAAAGCACATTCCCTCCACATAGACATATGATTCTCCTTCAATCTCAACAAAATTATTAAAAAAAAAAAAAAAGGCAGCTAGAGACCACTTTGAACCTCCCCAGTAAGAATGCCAGTGTTTTTCCTTAAAATATCAAGCTAACAAGGTTTTATTCTACCAGATTGCATAATTTCAATGTGAAAAACTTACATACATTTGTTAACATCCTGTAATCTGTGAGATGGATCACAAAGAGATGAATGATATAAACCAGTGTTCCAAACAAAATTCACTCCATGCATTTGATTCCCACACTGTATTTTCTGTGTATATTTGTACCTTCAAGACTTCTAAGATGTACTCATAAGCCCTATCGAGTGAGTTTATATCAGCAAATAAGGCAAGCAATTTGCAATGATGTTATTTCCAAATCTAAAGCCCAGGATGGGCTGGGTCAGGCCCTAGTTGCCATCACCAGTCTTCTTGGGTATCTCACTATATTCAGCATGAAATAAACACCCCAAGTCTTACACCAAAATATAGGCTATGACTTAGAAACATGCTTTTACTTTTTTAAATAACACATTTTCGGGGGGCTGTGGCAGGGAGTTTGAGACACAGTTAATAC